GACAGCGACATGGGCAACAGCCCCCACTGGCTGGGGTAAATGAACCTTCAAACACCCAAATTCCATCTCAACCTTTATTTCCTACCAGGAATTTCCTACCAGCAGCGCAGAACAGGCCAGGCTGAGTTATCCAAGGTCACAGTCCAAGCCAGGCCTCTCATAGACCTGCCGGCTTCTTCACTGCTACACTGGGGCTCTCCAGGGAGACTCCAAGAAAAAAATCTTATCCTACTTTTTCCTGATTTTATATAGGAAAGTTTTACAACTTAGAGCAATATTTGTCTCCTGAGTCTCTCAAAACTGCTCCCTCGTGTGATTCTCCAACTGGGACAGCAGCGCTGTAGGAGTTCCTGGAGCAGCCCTCTTCTCTCCCTGGTAAGGGTCTTACGATTCCTAATAAAGGCAGCAATTTTGCTTCCAGCTTTTACAAAGCTTTTTATGGCTCTGGCTGCTTAAAATAATTAGGACCCATAAATCCAGGGCAGAGACACCTGCAGAGTGACACGTGGGAGGGAGCGTTGGCTGAACTGGATAAAATCCTCGTTTGCACCGGCGAACAAAAATATTTTGTCTCTGACTTCAATCTCACAGTTCTGTCTCTCACTGACACTGCACCTGCAGGCTCCAACTCCATCTCCTCCCAGAAATCTCCCCAGACACTTGCACAGCAGTGCCTGAAAGCCTGAGTCCAGGGCTAGAATCTGCCCAAAATAAACAGCTCAGGAGGCTTCCTGACGCATTTTCATTAAACACCCGTGTAACAACTGCAGTTTTCAATATAGGATGTTGAAATCCAGGTAGAAACAGCAGTTCTGATGGTTTGGAAAAACATGCAAAATGAACATCTAAATAGAACTATCGATTCCATGAACAGCCTTAAAACCCCAGCTAAAGCCTGAACGCATAAGAAGAGCAAATTACCCAGGAACTCTTCTTGCGAGGACATCCGAGTGCTCCCAATCTGTTCCTCTTCACACAAAGCTCCCAGCCGTAAGGGCGGCCAGCCTGCCTGTCACCTCAGGCAATGGGGACACTGCAGACAACATTAAGCTGGACTGTGCAAATCACTCTCCTTGCCAAGCCAGTGAGAACGCCAGGAAGGTAAATTCAAGCCTGCAAATGCTTTACTTACAAGCCAATCTGTGCAATGCTAAGAAGCTTACAACCATCTTAATTTCTCTGTGCTTCTCTGTCTGCGGCTGCTTTCACGCTACATATTCAGATCTCGGATGTTTCTTCAAACAATCCCAGCATCAGAAGACTATAATGTTCAATTTTCCTTCCAGTGAAGAGTTAGTGCTCAGCAGAGAGTTGAAATCATTACTGCTGCAAGGTCTGGGAGCTCTCTTCATGCATCTACCAATCAGCCTCCAATCTCCCCTGACGAAAGGATATTTGGACTTTTTCCTGGAGAAATCTCTCATAATTCAAGGTAACGACACCACTGCCACTTTCGCCCCCTTCCTTTCTCTTGGTGTTGTCATCTTTCTGGGATGCATTTCTTTGTGGTCCATCAGTAGCATTACCAGCCTCCCTATTCCCTTTATAACACAGCTCCACACATCTTGTAGAGACGCCAGATTTGCTGCGCTGTCTTGTCAGTATTTCTAGGAGTTCAACAAACATTTTAATTAAGGGAATGTGTTCTGAGCCAAGAGAACGGCAGCACAGGGCAGGATTACAGCCCCTCCATGGCTCACTGCCAAAATGACACTACTTCCAAGTGTAAAAGCTCGAACCAGCTCACGTGCCAAGCAACACGGAGCGGGGGCTACGACGTGGCCACACGAGGCCGCAAGCGCTGCTCAGTGCAGGTGCTTGCTCGAGCTATCCCGAGGCCATCACTCCCCTTCCCTGCACCTCCCGGGAGGCTGCACAACCTAAAACTCTGCCCAAAAGGCTCTGCACATCTCCCTGATGTGAAGACGGAGCAGGAGGCTCCGCAGGAATGGCGAGCCGAGGCTCTCACGAGCTCAGCGAGAGGCACTTGTCACACCAAGAGCACACGGGGCTGGCAGGGAGGAGGCTAAAGCTGCCCTTGCTGGTGCTGTGGCAGTGCCAGCGGCTCCCGCACACTTTCCGGTCACCGGCCAGCGGCTGCTCCGGAGGCCGTCTCCGTGCCACAAGGCCCAGCTGTGCGTTCACACCTGCGCCCAAAACGTCTCCCCTCTCCTCACAGACCTGAGCACTCCTGTTTTTAAGAGGAATCAAAACAGAGCAAAGAGGTGGCGCAGGCTCACCCAGAGCAAGAGCCAGCGTTTATCTCCCTCATATCCCACGCTCACCAATCCCAAAAATCCAGGTTCAGGGCTGCAGGATGTGGTAAAAGGCAGCGCAGCACATGATGCAGAACAGTGCTCCGGGGCTGGACTGACCCTGTGCTGCCCCTGACAACAACCACCCAGGTGCTTTGCAGCTATTAAACTCCCTAGTTATCTACGTGAGCTGTTCTGCTCCTGCAATTCCATCTGGAAAGCTCCCAGATTGCCCAGTTTTTCTGCTTCCCTGCTTTCTTTGCAGCAGTTTTCTCTAGTGCTTCTGAGCTTTTCCTTTTCAGACACCCAAGCAGTACGGAGCAGACATGCAACCAGCTTTGGAGACAAACCACCACTCCAATCATCCACTCACCCACAGGCTTCCACCAAGCCCAAAGCTCTGCAAGATGAAATACCTATTACTAAAATAATGGGTTTACTCCACTGAAATTCCAAGCAATTAATGACAGGAACATCTTCTGTGGCCTCAGCGCTGCTGACTGTTCCCACGACTTCCCAACCTGCTGCAGTTTTAGCCTTGCAAAGAAACAGAAAGGGGAACAAATATTAAAAACAATCCTGACTTTTCGAGCTTATAAAAAGCACATGTATGTAAACACTTTTAGATCTTCAGTTAAGCTGACTAGCTTTTATGTCTGTTAATAAACATCCCCTGAACTTGAGGCACCCAAATCCTCCCACCATCAGGACTCAAACCTTGCTTTAAGAAGAAAACAAATAAATACCTATAAGGTGATTTTACTTCTGATAACCATTCCAAGTCAGCGAGAAAATAAATAGCAATTGAAATGCCCCTTTTCTTTTCTTTTTTTTTTTCTTTTTTTTTTGCTAGTAGTAAAACAGCAACTGCTTTTTTTCTGTTTTTTTTTTTTTTGCCAGGAACTCATGCAAGAAACTAACGTTACATGAGCACGAGGCTAATCAGCAGGGCAGCGCAGTGGAACCCTCCCACGCAGCAACCCACAGTTACATCTGCAAACACAGGTGCTTATTTCCAAACCAGGACACCAACAAACAGCTCACACATAAAGCAGGTGACAGGACACTCTCTGCCCTCATCTAACAAAAGAAATGGCATTTCTCCTTCACCACAGTAATAAGAGCCTTAATTATTTGTCTTCGATGTCCATTTTGACAATAAAAAGAGCTGCTGCTTCTTGCCAGCTTCATTTCCTGTGAAATTGGCACTTTTTACATTACATTACATCAAATTTACACCAGCCAGGCAATGCCAAGGGTTAGGCCAGCGAATCTGGGTCCAATTAAATGAACTGCTGCAATGGCTCCAAATGTTAATAACTCAAGCTTTATGGTAACAAAGTGAATCTTCCAGCTGTTTCAATTAAATATCAATATATTTTATATGCATTTCATTTCATCATCACCCAGCGCTCCAGCTGCCACAGCCCCACTGCATGGCTGGACATGGGTTTTCCCGTTTTTCCCAGGAGCCCAAGGCTCAGCTGAGGAACCAGCTGAGGCCCCTGCTCCCCATGGCCATGCTCCAACACGTGCCCAGTCCCAGAGCCCTGTGTTGGGACACAGGGCGAGCGCCAGGCTGGGAACCAGGGTGTCAGGAAGGGTGCGGGGAGCCACACACCAAGGGACGTGTCCTGCCAACACATGGCCAATTCTCCGGGTTTGCTGCAGTTAAAGCATGTGCTTCCATTCGCATCCTCCCCTCTCCAGCAACATTCTGCAGCGGGCCCTTTCTCATCCACAGGGGGTTAAAGATTCCCGGCTTTCCTCGCCTGCTCCGAAGGCTGCCGGACGCTGCCACGGCGTGCCAGGCACCGGGACGCTGCCTCCGCTCCAATCCCACGGACAGCAGGGAGACAGGCCCCATCCTGCAGAGCCCACAGAGGACAGGCACAGCCTTATCCTGCTCTCTCCGTGCTCCAGAGAGCGGCCTGGAACACGGAGCCCGTCCAGCCTGGCGTCAGAGCTGGTCCGACAGCACAGACAGCTGGTGGCAGGCAGGAGTGCACAGCAGAAACAGAAACACCGGGAATTCGGGAATCCTCTCCCTGCACCTCCTTCAACACAAACGGTTTTGAGATTTCCCACGCACACAACTGCGCTAAAACAACACTGAAAAGCACACTTACAAATAGACAGTTTTACCTTCAAAAAGCCCTGGAAATTATCCGTGCTGTAGACGTCAAAGACTTCCATAGCTCCGGAGCTGGCTTTGCTCACTGTGGGAGTCAAGGGGCAGCTGCAAGGGAAAAAAAAAGGGAAAAGTTCATGAGGACAAAGAGGGAAAACAGGAGAATTCTGGTGCTTGTATTTACTTCTGTTGCCTGTGTAACTCTTCTCTAAACTAGTCTGTAAATAGTCCTGCTCACTGTAGGGATCCACGTGCCTATGGGGAATGGGAGGGCACCGGGATTAGCCCAGGGAACGGGCTGCAGCAGTTGTGTGCACATCTGGGCACCCGAAGCATTAAAAAGTGTGGGGAAAAAAAAGGAAAAACAATCCGTTTTATGCCAAACGCACCCGCCTGCCCCTCCAGCCACGCGCGCACGGCCTGGTGCCTCGGCAGGATGAAGGCCGCGATCCCCGGGCTCCGTGCGGGACGCGAGGCCCGGACGGGCCCGATTCCCAGCGGGAAGCGCCGCGGGAGCGGTACCTGTTGCTGCGGCTGCTCACCACCCTGTCCACGCCGAGGAAGTACGCGGAGCGCAGCAGGGCGCCCAGGTTCATGGGGTCCTGGACGTGCTCCAGCGCCAGCCAGACCTGCGCGCGCC